AAGGTAGTAGACCAGGAAGGCACCTGATCCTCAATAATAGATTTGTTTTGGGGTTCTCAATTGTGAAAAGTTTTTTCCACTGGAAAAATTGCTCATGTAATCTTCCTTTCCTTAGCTCCTGAGGCCAATGATTATGATTCATTAGCTGATATAGTTTTCTCTAGGTTTCTTCAAAACTGACAGCTTTCTCACAGGAATTCTCACAGGAATTCTCACAGGAATCCAGATTTGTTTTGGTGGTAGTTTATTATAGAGGGTCCCCTGTTTGTTTGAGGTAGGGGGGTGGGGCCTATTTACTAATCAGGATCCAACATTCCCTTAAAGATGAGGTGCAAAGTGCAAGAAGACTTCGCTGCTGAAGAAAATATAACATCGCACGCAATCGGGCAACCTCTTGAACTTAAATGAAATATTTTTTCTCTGAAGGCAAACTCTTCGAGTGGAAGCATGGGATCGCGACCAAGTTCCGATCGTGCAGATGAGCTGAGGCGCGCGACCGTTCCAAAACTTTGGGAGATGTGTTGGTTTCATGGCAGGTGTGCAGAAGAACCCGTCATAAGCACCCAAAATCAAGATCAAACCAACCTCCAAACCTTCCCCCTTTGCAGGCAGGTCTTGGGAAGCGCACTTGCAAAGCGCTGCTGATTCTCTCCATGACGTGTGCTCGAAAAACGAAAACGTCAAATGCCTTTCAGAAGACCTTCAAGTTGACCAAACATTATTTTGAACGTGTGGAATGCAACGGCAAGGCGGCGCAATGCAACGTTCTCTTGTTGTGGCTGCAAAGCGTTGTGGACAGCATGGTTTCCCCAGACCCTCTCATTGCCACTCTCTTGTGGACCCTCAACACAGTGCTGGATATCATGTTTGCCGGCCGCAAAGTTGGCCATATCTTTTCGCAGGAAAAGGCCGACGAAGTTAATGTTTTGGGGACTGTTTTCCTTGAGGCGCACCTTCAATTGCATCAAGTGATTGCTTGAGATTGAATATTTTTGTGTTTCGCTCAGACCAGATCGTTCGGGCCGAACAGTTTCATTGCAAATGTTTCGCGACAATGCATTGGGAACCCCAGTAGTCACTGAGAACGGACATGCACTTGTTTCGCGCGCGTCACTTTTCCACCCTACCGTTCTGCCACCTAACTGCTCTTTCCTTCATCACGCACACACTAACTGCAATTGTTCGTTACTCCGAAGACTCTAATCGAAATTGAAACTTGCAACACATCAAAGTGAATCAAATCAAACCTATCAGCAGTTCAAGCAGCAATAGAAACAAGTAGCAGTCATAGGCATCCACTCCCTCCTTGTTGTTTCGCTTTAGGTCGTGCTTGCGAACCTGACATGGGTCTACTGGTGTGTCAGCAGTTTCTGAGCTGAAATTCTGGGCCTGTTTCTTCTTGGTCGCACCCGTCTTCTTATATGGCCAATACCTTTTCTCGCCCCGTATTGCCAGTGGCACCTGCCAACTCAGCTGAGGCATAGAAAGCGAGAATTGCATCAGGTTCGCATGCCATTGCAGAACCAATCATGTACGGAGCCAACCATTTTGTCAGTTCATGGTTCATGTCCAAGTACAGTCAGTACATTTATATACTCTATTTACTGTACATCTATTTGCACTGGGTTGCAAACGCCGCCTTGTTCTTAATGAGGAACCGGACGTGATCCTCCCAACAACAGGTCGGTCATGATCGATCCACGCAAACAAAACATGTTTGTCGGCCCGCCTGCGGTGAGTGACGCAGAGAGTTGCTTTCAGCATAGACTGAGATTTTTGATCTTGATGGCATTCTTTTCACGCTTTGGTACTCACTATCATCCGACAAGTACATGTTTGCAAACCCGGTGTCAGGACTAAAATTGGCGTTGACACTTTTGAGGTCCTGCCCCAGGCCCACAAGTGGGGTTCTGCTGGTCCGTACCTGCTTATAATGCAATCCAGTGTTGCCTACTTCCCCAAGTCTCAGCTTAGCTTGCAAGGCGCCGGAAGCAAAAATTTCAGCGCTTGAATTGCCCTTGCGAGCGTCGGCCGCAATACTCAAGCGGCTTTGCCGCGACCGGTCTGACTCCACATGCATGCCCGATTTCCTGTCAAGCTCTATGTCGAACGCATCTCCAATACCTGAATTAATATTGGCCTTCCCATATGAACAGTTGGTGTGTCCATTGACCTTCTCCATCGAGACGCCGAGTTTTTGATGCGCTTTGTAAGACACGTCGTGATCGCAACTCATGTTGCCACTCTGTTGATAACAAGCTCCTTTACCGTCCCTGTAGACAGCTGACTCAGCTTGAGCGTAGAAAAATCTCCTCTCATCAGGATCCCTCGGGATGGGACCCAAATCGGGCAACACATCCACAGGGTTGGAACCACGAAGGTTCTCACGTCTCTCCTGCGGGGTGAAATCAACCCTCTTTGACATTGCGTCAAATGTGCCACTGGCAGCACAAAAGCCTGCTACTGACTGTCACGCCCCCATTATCTAATTGAAACCAACTTCTGGAGAATGAACTCACATCTTGAAGAGTTTGAGTTACAGTTAAACTTTGACCTGTAACTTCCATCAAAACATAAGCTCGCTAGCAGTCCAATCTTTGTATGGCAGTCACAACATGGCAAAAACCTGAGCCAAATTGGCGACATGCAAAAGCAGAAAGTAGCGGATGATGCGATACTCACACTGCATGTTGCCGCAACTCTGATAGAATGGGTTCAAGACTAGCGGATCCTGTGTCGCTGCATCTCTTTTCGATTGCCCAGGGCCCAAGACAAGGAAGCTTTCGCAGTTTAGTGTGAACTGTTCAGCGCCCAACAACGCTTTCAGCTTTCTCTCATCGCAGCAGCTTCCAAAAGGCCTTCAACCGGTTTGGGTCGATTGGCAAGGCGTAAACATAACCGCTGACATTCACTACTGCTCTGGTGCCGTTGATGGACAAAACACCGGCTGATCACCACCATTCTTCTATTGTGAAGGTCTGATAGATTAAGTGCAAAAGTTAGGATGCAGAAGGAGGAGATCGATCGTATGTCAGACGTGGAACGATTTCGGCAGCGCTTGCGAAACTTTCAGGCGCACGACAAACAGGCGCAAATTCCGACACACCACGATCGAACTCAGACACCGGCGCGATATGCAACTTCCTTGGCAACAACATGGTGCGTGGTGGGGGTAGTACCCCCATCATGATTAGATCCACATTTTCAACACCTTGATGTGGGAAGGGCAAATGATTGAATTTCTTACAGTACTGTTCTCTACTGTTCTCCTCCCGTGTGCTTTCTGCACTGCATCCGCATACATGTTTCGCAGCTTACGTGAATGTGCGATATGTTTTTCGCCGCCGGCCACTGACTCTGCTCGAACACATAGGGCTCTTGTGAGTCTTAGAGCGGCGGCGACATTGACTTTGCGAATGCAATTGGGAGGAATGAATGAGAGCGTGATCCAGGGCATTTTTTCACTGCTGACATGTCGTTTGGTTTGCAGTTGAAGTTTTTACAGCCACCTTGTTAGAACTGATATTACCTCGTGCGTCCATTGACCTTCTCCGTTTTGCCTGTTGGGTGGAAGGTTGAGTCCCTCCGTTCTGCCCGGCTGGTCCAGAAGGTTGGAACCGCGAAAGCCCTGACAGCGCGGTCACTCAGCTGGCAGCGCAAAAGCTTGCTGCTGACTGTCACCCCCAGCCCAAACTATCTCCTAAAGTGTAATTAAACTAAACTCACGTCTTCAAGGATTTGAGTCAAGTTTGAACCTGAAATTGTGAAAACACTGGCTCACTAGCAGTCCAATCTTTGTATGGCTGTCACGACATGGCCACAGACTGAGCCACATAGGCGAAATTCAAAGGTGCAAAAGTCTGTGAATGTTTACTGAAGCTTCCCGGACTTTTCAGGATATCTATGGTCAAAATCTCAGGAAAGCATCCACCAGTCTCCATCAGCTGTCTAGTCTCTTTCTCAGTGTCAAGCCTTGGAGCTTCGCGTACCTAGTGTATAGCGACTTCAAACTTGAAAATGGATGCACTGCATCTCGGATTTTCTCAGTGCTTCCTCAACTACTGTCCATAACGACGCAAGCCCTCTCAGATGCGGGATACAAGGTCTTCCACCATGTCCATCGTTGTCCATCCATCTGATCCATCCATCCGATCCATCTGCTCCTCGAAGTCCAAGGTCGACGAGGAGCCAATCGGTGCCAAGGCGCCCCGGACCAACGTCCGGGGCGAGGCCACGAGCGCCTTTCAAATGTGCTGGCAAGGAACCTTTCGAAATCTGGTATGGGCGTTCGGCGCCCAACAACGCCTTCACTCCTCATAACAGCTTCCAAAAAGCTCTTCGACCCAGACAGGAAAAACAATTGGGACTGGCTCCACTCTGGAGGCAGCTGCTATGAGCATGAGGTGAAATAAAAAGACTGGCGCTTGCAATATACCTGCTTCTCTTGCATGACGTACTGGCAATCGGAGGCCAGATCAGGCCATCGCAACATCAACTTGTTTTTTGGGTCTTCAGGTAGTAGCCATCGGGAGCTTCTACTACATCGTGAAGATCTGAGTGTCTCCACCCTCACGGGGATGTTCGTGCACTTTTTGCCCAGGACTTTTGCTCTCACCATCTTCAACCATGTCTAGGACCAGTCACAAGAAGGGGCAGCCTCACCGCAAGTTCCTGAAGGGAACACTGTCATCCTGCCTATAGAAGGAGCAAAGGCTGAAGAGGTGCCAGGGATGTGGGATATATGAAGGGAACAGGTAAGATCCCAGAAAGTGGGTTGGTCCCATTCACTCTGGTCACACATAGCAAGGGAAGGACACCAGCCCAGCAAGCCTGGGCCCCGCTGTCCTAGAAGGATATGCTCAGCTAGAAGTGCGGAGGGCAGTAAAGAAGATACTGGGTCCAATCAAATCTACATGCTGGACCGACCATAGCAATTGGACGAGGCAACAGACTGCCGAAAATGTAGAGCCCAAGCATCTGCGCTGGTTGAGCGACAGCTGGCTGATGGTTCAGAACTCCGGAGCTTGTCCGGGAGAAGTGCAAAATGAGGAGATGGGTCTTCGAGGACTCCGCCCGAGAGGGATCAGCTTTTGGAGCAAAGAAGCAAGGATCAGCTTTTGGGTTGATCGGACCATTCCACGGATTTTCGTCTGGAAGGGTATCTCGGTAAAGAGTCGAACAACATCTTACCGTGGTCCATCGGAGAAGAAGTTCTGCCAGCAGAAGAACTCACACAGCAAGGAGGCTGTGTCGACCATCACCGCGTTCGTTACCCAATTTGGAGACGACTGAGATGCTCAGAATTTAGAGAATATGTGCGCAGCGGGAGATTTGGCCAGATCTCAGCGTGCTCTATGTCCCAGACGTATCGGGACCAGCGAGGCTGAAACAGACCCAAGAGCTTAGTAGAAGCACGCAGAGCTGGTGCCGCCCGAACCAAAAGGAAATTGCCACCGAAAAGGGCATGGCTGTCATGCAGAAACTGTCAGGAAGAAAGCTTGCAAACGCTAGGACGCTACGAAGTAAGGAACATCAGCCATTTACTTCTGATGAATCAACCACTCGAGACGTGCAAAAATGGATCTGCATGCTACAATGCTGCTACAAGTACTATCGTCTTAATGATTTGAGTGCATCCTTCAGCATCAAACATCAAAAAAGAAATATGGCACAACAACAAATTGTGTAGCCAGTCCTCCTGGTTCAAGCCCACCTGGAGGAAGCGTGTCGTTCTTTCTTCATTCGCCCGGCCCTCTGAGTCTGTCTCCCTCTCTCTGTATTTATTTTCACAAACACATCTACCGTATACAATTTCCACGTACACTATTTGAATGGACATCTACAAATGACAAAATGATGGAGCTAGAATCAGCTAGAGCGGTATACGGTATAAGTCGCAAAACACAGAAGGTGATGTTGCAAAACGTGTTGTCTGCGCACGGCTGATTGACATACGGTCAACATCCAATGGGAGCCTCGTCGTCAAACTGCGACAAATCATCGTGCACGTTATACTGCAGCGCAGCCTCCCGCAGGGCCCACCCTCCAGTTGATTCAATTCTTCCCCAATGTTTTGGTTTCTCTGTCTCTTTCCCTACAAGTTTTCTTGGTCATTGTGCTTCCCGGGTTTCCCAGTTTTGCCTCGAGGGGCATCTGGCCAATTACATCTCCGTTCTGGCCACAATAACACTTGGTCTTAGACTTGGAGGCAGCTGACATAATATCAGTCCTTTCGATCCTGCGTCGCCAAATTGCCCTGTTCCTGTTCCGACGAGAACGACAACAAGAACAACAAGGCGCGAACATCATGCTGCTTCACAACCACGAACAAAGCTCTTGAGACACTGCACAATATTGAACACAGAACGAACAAAAATAAAATGTGACAAAGTCACCATTGGCACCAAATGTCTTGTTAGGTCTGTTCTTCATATCTTTTGGCGTGCTGTGTAGTCACCCGCACACAATTTTGCGGATGCACTAGATCCTAGTTAATGATTCTGTATGGTGACAAGTTTTTACTCATTGATCTCAAGATCCCCACACAAACAGGAAAAAGAGAACGTGTTTTTTTTGTGGGGGGCATTCTTGTTTACCATCCGCGCGGTACAAACGGTAAGAATCGATGTTTCGTGCTTTTATCGTTTTTACTAGGGGGATCGCCCTTTTTCTTTTACCACCTGCGCGGTAAAAATTGCAAAAATTAATTACACCAGCATAAACCCAGATAGCTAGGCAGAATCCCACGACCTGTTGACATGCGACTGGCTGGAACAAGAACGTACGCAGCCTGCACAGCTAGCATACGGCACCTCCACAGCGCACACAATCAGCTGACACCAGCACCGGTGCACTTTGCCAGCTGACAACACCGGCAGCGGCGCCAGCGCCCGACCAGCGCCGCCGCCCGTCTTAAACGCGCGCTCAGCCAGCTCACAGCACCAGCACCCAGGACCACAACACCAGCACCAGCACCGACACCCTTTCGAAAGCGCGCGCAGCCAGCTCATTCTTATTTGCAGCAAGAACCCCATAGCTATCCCTAATTGGGGAATAACAACGTATGATCTTTGCGCGTATAAGTTTATGCACACAAAAGTATACGCGCAAACAGCAAAGCCCGTAAGTGTCATTGGCCCAAGGCCAAGCAGTATCCAGCGCCACTATTGACTTTGTAGCGCACTTGAAGAAACGATCTGCAGAACGATAAAGCCGTATGATCTTGCGCGAATAAGCTTACGCGCACAAACATATGCGCACAAACGGCAAAGCCCGTAGACTTCCAGCACGACTGTTGTGTGTGTGTAGCATGACTGTTGTGTGTGGTTGAGAGCCTGACGTTGCGCATAGAACATTATCCGTACAAAAGTATGCGCGCAAACAGTACGGCCCTTGACACAGCTGTCGGCAAAAGCAGAACCTGAAGAGTGTAAATACCCCACAGCGCTAATAGACAAAGAACGCTCAAGCGACAACACCGTATGATGTTGCGTGCATAAGTTCGCGCGGCCCGTGACTGCTGGCACTTCATTGTCAGAAGCGGCGCTTGGTCGCCCTTCACTGCTGCAAGCGGCGGTTTGTTACCCTTCACTGTCAGAAGCGGCGGTTCTTATCACTTCACTGTCAGAAGCGGGCACCAGCACCGAGCACCAGCACGCCAGCTCACGGCGCCCAGCACCAGCACCCAGCAGCACTCGGCGCCCAGCACCCGGCACCCAGCACCCTGTCTCCACCACGCGCACAGCCAGCGCCCAGCACCGGCGCCCAGTCTCCACCACGCGCGCTGCCAGCTCACAGCACCAGCACCAGCACCGGCGCATGCTGTCTCTACCACGCGCACTGCCAGCACCCAGCACCGGCACCCTGTTTCCACCACGCGCACAGCCAGCTTACAGCACCCAGCACCAGCGCCACAGCCAAGCACCAGCGCCCGGTGCCAGCACCCAGCACCGGCACCGTGTCTCGAAAGCGCGCACAGCCAGCTCATTATCATTCGAAATGATAAGGACCCCACAGCTGTCGCTATCTGGAGCAGGCGCGCAGCCAGCGCGACCCAGCACCCGGCACCGGCAGCCTGTTTCCACCACGTGCACAGCCAGCTCACAGCACCACCAGCACCGGCACCCAGGCACTCTGTCTCCACCACGTGCACAGCCAGCTCACAGCATCAGCACCTACCTGTCTCGAAAGCGCGCGCAGGCAGCTCATTGTTGTTAGTTGAAGTATGAAGCCCATAGCTTCGCTATCTGGGAAGAAGATCCGAAAATAGCCCCCCTTGCATATGCAAGCCACACCACCAGCACCAGCACCGGCACCCGGCACCAGCACCACCAACCTGTCTCCAACATGTGCACAGCCAGCACAGCACGAGCACCAGCACCGGCACCCGGCGCCCACAGCACCAGCACCAGCAACC